AAAGAGGGTCGGGGACAGTGTGCAGAAACTCAGCCTTCTGAGCATCTTGCTGTGGCTCAAGGACAGATGCCGGCCACCGGGGTCTTCGCGGAGGGTCTTGGACACCTACCGAACGTGACGGGCTGGCTCCAGGCACTCCACTGCAGGACCCGGGTGTCCGCGGCCCTGATCCTCAGCGTGTGTGCGGCTCTGGGCTGCGGGCTCAGCAGGTGGTACTTGTTCCCCAAATCACCCGGCAGCTCAATCTTTGGAGAGAACAGAGATTTAGGGGGACTCGTCGCCCGTGTTGCAGGACTGGTCCGGCTGGCGTGTCCAGCTGAAGCGGGCGAGGGGCTCGGGGGAAAAAAACAGGATAATCTGCCACGAAACCCACACCGCTTCATCGCGGTTCGGGCTATCCGCGCTCCATAGAAATGCGGGCTTCCCAGCGTTAACATCTGTCATCAGCCGCTGGGGACTTTGCAGGTGGCAGGTGAGTCCCCGCCAGCAGCGACTCAGCTGCCCGCCCGACCGGCAGCCCTGGGAGTCGAGGGTGGTTCCCGGAGATGAGGGTTATTAGGCCCCGACGGTGGACGCGGGACCTGCCGCGAAGGCCGGCCCGAGAATTGAGTCCAACCTCCTCAGTGAACAGAGCAGGAAGGTAAGGCCACAGGGCTGGTGACACTTAGAAAATGCCACCCAAAGGACTTCTGAGGTTCTATCTGTTGAGGTATTTTGAAAGAAATAATGTGTCCTTCACACTCGAAGGGACATTTTCTTGAGCCGCATGGATGGAGGAGCAATAAGCCGTGTCAGCCGTGGGATGTGACGAACTCAGCTAATGTCCACACACGGGGCGTGACAAATCGGCCGAGAGCAGACCCCTATAGCCGGGGTCCTGGGAGGACCCTGCACTGTGATGGGCTGGTTTCCTGGGACACCGCTGTCCCCAGTGCATGTCACCATCCCCACCCTGTCACCGCCGGGCCCAGCGAGCCTTTTCTCTGCTCCTATGACAGAGGCCGCAGACTGAGCTACGGGGCTCACATTTCCGGTCACGGCTTGGACTCACCAGTTGGCTTTTGGCCCGCTCCACATCGTCCTGGAAAAACAGTAAAACAGAAAAACGGAAAACGTTCACTTGTGCCCGTCTCGAAGGCCTCCCCGGCTTTCCGCCACGGTCCCCTTTCAGTGCGGTCAGGGGACCTGTACCCGCGTGGCCGAGGGCAGGGTGCCGACTCGGTGACCTTTGGGACCCGGGAGTCACCGCACGGAGCCCGCGGCTGTGCGGCCTGGTCAGGCCTGTTTCTGGAAGCCGTGCATGTGACGGCTGCTCCCTGACGTCCCGGGGGTCGTGAGTTTGCGGTCCTGCCCCCGCACACGGAGGACAGCGCTGCCCCCAGCTGCCGCGGCTCCGAGCGGACTGTCGCGAAGGGGCCTCTCGCTACACTGTCCCCTTGACCCCTCACGGGCCGCTGGGCTCTGCGGCCGTGCGTTTGTTGCCGCCGCGTCGGTGTCCGCCGCTCCGGAACCGCCCCGACCCGCAGCCCCGCGGTGCAGCCGCGCAGCCCCGACCGGTGTCCCGGGCCCTGGGTCCTCGGGGCGCGGCGCCCCGCACGCCGCACGCGCATGCGCACCTCCTGCTGCACCTGCAGCTGGTACTGGAAATCCCGGTCCGACAGGCGGCGGCGCGTGCGCGGCTTCTCCCAGAGGATGCGGCAGTGCGTCGCGTTGCAGAGCACGCTGATGTTGCCGGGCGGGTTGCATCTCTCTGCGACGAGAGCACGGGACTCGGCCCTGAACCGGGATCCCCCTGCCCGCCGAGACCCCCTCCTGCCCGCCAGGACCCCCTCCTGAGCGCCAAAACCTGGGGT